TGTATTATTGTGGTCTTGTCTTTTCTTTTCTTTCCTTCCATCCAGTTATGAGTGAGGACATGTGGTATTTCTTTCTGTGTCTGGCTTATTTCACTTAATATAATTTTCTCCAAGCTCATACATGTTGCTGTAAATCGCAGAATTTCATTCTTTTTTATGGCTGAGTAGTATTCCATTGTGAATATATACTAATTTTCTTTATTTAGTTATCTGTCAGTGGACATTTAGGTTGGTTCCATAGTTTAGCTATTTTAAATAGAGCTGTGATGAACATGGGAGGTATCCATTCAATGTAATAGAGCTGTGATGAACATGCAGGTATCCCTTCAACATGATGATTTCCCTTTCTTTGGATATATGCTCAGTAGTGGGATTGCTGGAGCATGTGGTAGATCTATCTGTAGTTGTTTGAGGAACTTTCATACTATTTTCCATAATGGCTACTAATTTACAGTCCCACTAATAGTGCAGAAGAGTTCCCTTTTCCCTGCATCCTCACCAGTATTTGTTATTCTCAGTCTTTTTAATAGTGGCTAGTCTAACTGGGGTAAGATGATATCTCAATGTGGTTTTGATTTTCATTTCCCTGATGCTTATTCATGTTGAGCATTTTTTCATGTACCTGTTGGCCGTTGGTATATCTTCCTTTATAAAATGTCTATTCAGCTCCTTTGCCCATTTTTTAACTGGATTATTTGTTTTTGTTTTGTGTAGTTTTTAAAATTCCTTATATATTCTGGATATTAATCCCTTGTCAGATGTATAGTTTCCAAATATTTTCTCCCATTCTATAGGTTATCTTTCTGCTCTGTTGTTTCCTTTGCTGTGCAGAAACTTTTTAGTTTCATATAGTCCCATTTCTTTATTTTTAATTTTGTTGCTTGTGCTTTCATGGTCTTATTCAGAAATTCTTTGTCCAGTCCTACCTCTTGGAGTGCTCCCACTATGTTTTCTTTTAGTAATTTTATGGTTTCAGTTCTTATATTAGGTCTTTAATCCATTTTGAGTTGATTTTGGAACATGGTAAGAGATTTTGGAACATGGTAAGAGAGATTTTGGAACATGGTAAGAGAGATTTTGGAACATGGTAAGAAGAGAGTTTCATTCTTCTACATACGGATGTCCAAATTTCCCAGCGCCATTTACTGAAGAGGCAGTATTTTCCCCAATGTATGTTCTTGTTGCTTGTTCATATTTTTGAATGTGATTTGTCTGCATTGTTTCATTTTTTGTTGTTGTTGGTTTACACAGTGAAGGTTGTAATATCTACTTTTGGGTAGTTGGGTGGAGAAAATGAAAATATTTGTGGAAAGTTCTTCAGAAACTTTGAAGCCCTGTGGGGATGTAAGGTAGTGTTTTGAAGGCCAGAAGTCTGGGGAAGAGAGGAGGTTGGTACCAATAATGAAAAGGGGATTGAATGCAACTCTTTCCTTACTCCATGCCTTTACTTACAAAATAATATCAGTGTTGAAAATCATAGTATTTGTGGTTTCTGAAATGTTCAGACAATTCTAGAAGAGATCAATAACTGTACCTTGTTTGGCTCAAGTAAAATTTAGGAAATACTGGTGTGTGTGGAAGAGCAATGTAATAATTATTTTTTATTTACTTTACCTGCGTGTAACAGAGAGGAGATGAGGAATTCTGGGACTGCCTTTTATTGCTGTTGGTCAAAGAGGCCAGAGAAAATCTGTTGTTTTCCAGACATGGAGCCAGATTTGTGTTCTCTTTGCTGTTGAGATATGGAAGGATTTGAAGGGGGTGCATGCTTTTCTCACATTTATGTACCCCAGATTTGAAGTGGAAAATGTGAATCTAAAGTGTAGAAATTGCGAGAAGCCATTGTAACCTGGCCTGCAGTTGCCAAGCTCTGTAAAACCTTTATTGTTGTTGTTGTTGTTGTTATTATTTTCAGTGATATGTTCAAAGAGTCAAGACTCTATATTCTGAAAATAAGTATTTCTGGAAGTGGGACATAGACAAAATAATAATAAAATTCTTAGCATGTAATCTGTTCCAGTCAAATGCTTGAACACATTTTGTGTTTGTCCTTAACTGTGATAGTTTTTTTTGTTGAAAGGAATAGGTGCTGTTGCTTGCTTTGTCTTCATTTATCTTAATCCGAAAGCAAATAACCAGGCTCCATAAACCCATGTATCTGATACATGTGAAGGTGGAAGATGAGGAAGGTGATGGAACTAGGGAGAAGAAATAAAAGGGAACCAAAAATAACCAACAAGCTTGAACGTTATTAGAATATGGTCTAATGAATTAGCTTAGTTGGTGAGAACAGTGCTCCTAAAACCTTAAAGAGCATATAAAACCCCTAGGGTTTGTATAAAAATACAATTTCTGATTTAGTAGGTCTAGGGTATTTTTAGCTCCCACAAATAAGTGAGAACATGTGATATTTCTTTTTCTGTGCCTGACTCATTTCACTTAATATAATTCTCTCTAGGTTCATCCATGTTGTTGCAAATGGCAGTATTTCATTCTTTTTTTTTTTTTTTTTTTATAGCAGAGTAGTATTCCATTGTGTAGATATGCCACATTTTCTGTATCCACTCATCTGATGATGGACTTTGGGGCTCGTTCCAACTCTTAGCCATTGTAAATAGTGCTGCAGTAAACATGGGAGTACAGGTATCCCTACAACCTGATGATGGGTCTAGGGGTGGGCTTGGCGTCGTTCATTTATTCAAGTTCTCAGGTGATTATGCTGTTGTTGGCCTGATAACCACTCTTGAATTAGCAAGGGTTGAGAGTTTGGGTGGACCTCTTGGTGAAGGTCATATTTTAAAAATATCTATAAAGATAACCTCTGAAGAGTATAGCTAAATGTGATGTAATTTTATGCCATTATTAAATTTTTATATACTAAAATTCAATATCATTGACCAAAAATAAAAGCATTTTTCTGGCCATGTCACCCTGATTTTTTTCATTCATTGATTCCTTAGCTTAGGTCCCTTGGTAAATACTCTCCGAATAAGTTAAATCTGTTTTCCTGCCAGTATCCTAACCCAGACTGCCATCCGGTTAACATGTAAAATGTCCAGGTGGCACCTGTGTTGTCACGGAAAGGGCTCTGGAGAGGCAGACAGACCACCTGGCTTCTAGTTCCAGTTCTGCCAACTAGCTTTGGGACCCTGAGCTTCACATCTATCAAGTTAGCTAATTTTTTTTTTTTTTTGTAGAATAATTGTGGAAATTTGTATCGTGAGAAGTGAGAAAGCATCTAGTCCATTGCCCATAATGGGGGCTCAATAAATGCTTCAGGCGACCTTCTGAAGAGAGTACAACTAAGGAGTTTTTTTTTTTCCCCCCCTTTTTGTCTTTTTTACTGACTGGTAACGGGATCGCAACCCTCGGTGTCGTGCCCATACCGGGGACCGGCAACGGGATCACAACCCTCGGTGTTGCGCCCGCGCCACGCTCAGCCAGTGAGCAGGAACCGGTCACCACATGGGATCCGAACCCTCGGCGGGAGCGCCGCCGCGCTCCCAAGCGGCGCACTCTCCAGTGCACCACCCGGCCGGCCCAACAACTAAGGAGTTTAAGGTCTTCCAGGCTTTGGGTAGACCAGCTCAGAGAAAAGAAGGATTGAGGGTAAAAACCTGTCCCATAACTTTAAGAAGGACTTTTACTAAGCTGTCCTCCACCTTCTTTAACTTGTGATTTAAGTTGCTCAAACTTTCTTCTACTGAAGATCTGATCTTTTGTGTAATTTCATTTTTTAAAAAATTTCGTTTTTAATTGACATGTAATAATCATATATATTTATGGGGTACAGAGTAATATTTTGATACATGTATACTGTGTGATGATCAAATCAGGCTAATTAGCATATTATTGTTGCAAACATTTATCATTTCTTTGTGATGAAAACATTTGACCTCTTCTAGCCATTTGAAAATATTCAGTAAATTATTATTATACATGCTTAGCATTATTATAGAATATTAGAAATCGTTCTTCCTATCTAGCTGTAATTCTATATCTGTTAACCAATTTCTCTCTATCCCCCCACCCTCTACCGTTCCCTTCTGGTAACCACAATTCTACTCTCCACTTATATGAGGTTACTTTTTTTTCAGCTCCCACATATGAGTGAGAACATGTAATATGTATCTTTCTGTGCCTGACTTATTTCACTTAACATAATGTCCTTCAGACTCATCCATGTTGCCGCAAATGACATGATTTCATTCTTCTTTATGACTGAGTAGTATTGCATTGTGTGTATATACCACATTTTCTTTAACCATTCATATGTTGATGGATACTTAGGCTGAGTCCATATCTTGGCTTTTGTGAATAGTGCTGCAATAAACATGGGGCATAGGTATCTCTTCTGTATACTGATTTCCTTTCCTTTGGATAAATACCTGGTAGTGGGATTGCTGGATCATATGGTAGTTCTACGTTTGGTTTTTTGAGAAACCTCCATACTGTTTTCCATAATGGCCGTACTAATTTACATTCTCATCTACAGTGTAGAAGGGTTCCCCTTTCTCTGCATCCTCTCCAGCATTTGTTATTTTCTGTATTTTTGATTATAGCCATTCTAACTTGTGTGAGATGATATCTCAATGTGGTTTTGTATGTCTTCTTTTGAGAAATGTCTGTTCAGGTCCTTTGCCCATTTTTTAATTGGATTATTTGGTTTTTTTGCTCTTGAGTTACTTGAGTTCCTTGCATATTCTGGATATTTATGCCTTGTCAGATGAATAGTTTGCAAATATTTTCTCCCATTCTGCAGGTTGTCACTTCACTCTGTTGATTGTTTCCTTTGCTGTGCAGAAGATTTTTAGTTTGATGTAATCCCATTTGTCTATTTTCACTTTGTTGCCTGTGCTTTAGAAGTCTGCTGGGAGCACTTCCTTTCGCTTTCTGGGAGCACTTCCTTTCGCTTTTCTTCTGTCTGCTCTAACAGAGATGAGGAAATTGGTTAAAGGGTAACAGTGTTGACCATTTCTCCTGTTCTTCTTCCTTTGCAGATTACTCTTCTGCTGTTCAGAAATTTTCTCAGACGCTGCAGACATTTCAGTTTGATTTCATTGGAGACACTCTGACTGATGATGAGATTAACATCGGTAAGTCTTAATCTACATGTGACCATGTGCCTCTGGAGGAAGGCCCGAGATCATGCGGCTTCCTTGGTTTGTGGATACAAAGCACCTGGACATCTTCATTCCTGTGTTTCAGTGCCATGCCCCTGGGAGGCTGCTTAGGAAGGATAAGCAAATATTCCCTGCTAGCCCCATTTTCCCCTTCACACAAAAGCAATAGTAAGATATTCCTTAAACCTCCACTGAGGCCTTTGACTCAGTCTTCAGGGGAACTTTTCTTTAAAGCATCTAATACACAAAAATAGACATTTTCATAAAGGATAAATTAAAAAGAGATTTGTTTATTTTCCAGAATGATTTGGAGTAAGATTCTTCTAAGGAACAAATTTCCCTAGCATTTCAATATGTGAGCCTTTTCAGGAAATTGAAGGTTTGGCCTTTCCCTTGGGAACTGGATTTAACAGTTTGGTCTATTAGCTGTGTGATCTTGGACAAGATATTTCCCCTCTTTGAGTCTTAGTCTTCTCCTCTGTAAAATGGGGTCAATATCTCTCTCTCAGGGGTGTTACAAAGAGGATATTGAACAGTGGAAGTAAAAAGAACTTTATCCTCGTATTGTTATGAAGTTAAAGCAGAAGTCAATATACTATGGTCCTTGGGCCAAATCCAGCACACCACCTGTTTTTGTAAATAAAGTTTTATTGGAACACAGCCCCATTTATTCATTAAATTATTATCTATGGGTGTTTTTGTGCTACAACAGCAGCATTGAGTAGTAGTGACAGAGACTAAATGGCCCTCAAAACCTAAAATATTTACCTTCTGGCTGTTTAAGAAAAAATTTGCTGTTTCCCTGCCCTCAGGTAGCTCATAGTCTCTTGAAGGAGGTAGATGAGTAAACACAGTGGCAACATAAGCACACAGTATCCCTTAATCTAGATTGGGTGTGTGTTGGGGGCAGGGGGAGAATAAACAAGGAAAGCTTCTCAGAGTATCTGAGTCAGTTCCATGGCTAGGGTGAGACAAGTCAGGCAGCTAGGGCTCAGATTTAAGGAGGCACTTACTCTTAGCTTTGTGCAAGTGCAAGTTGGCACCTGAGAGTGAATATAGCTCCTTAAATTTTGCAGCCTAGGTGCCCTGTCCTGGTCCTGATCTGAGTTGAATTTCTAAAGAATGGGTGAAATTTCAGAAAAGGCAGACAGAGAAAACATATATACAAAGGCACAGGTGAGGGGAGTAAGATTATCTTTCTTGAAAGTGGAATTAATTGAAGCTGACTGGAAAGACTAGAGAGGATTCAGAGATAAGAGCAGACATGTTTAAGGGCTACATAGAGTCTCACTAGCTGATGAAAATAAGCAAACTAAGCTGGATATAGGATGACAATTGATTGTCTGTCTCTATGACTTAGTGAGAGGGTAGGGCTCATGGCAAACGGCAAAAGGTATGCTCCATCTAAAAGCAGCATCTTGGAATGGGCTCCACTGAGTGTTGTCATTTGAAAATATATGAGCCAATGTTGCCAGAGTATCTGATTTTTCACCAGAAGGAAATATCCAGGTATTTTATGTATAATATCTCTTTTTAAGTGTTAGAAATTAAGTCAAATTCAAAACAATGTGCAGACCAAAGAAAACATACATGTTGGCGTGATATAGCCAGTGGATTGCAACAGCTGGATTAGATAGTGAAGGGCTTGTAATAATTAATGAAAAAGTGTGTTGTGTCCTGAAGCTAAAAGGGAGCAATACAAAGATGGCAAGAGATCAGGAAGGAAAACCCAGGCAGATTTCCTTAACCTTAAAAACCGTAGGAATTATTTGGTGGGTTTCATTGGAGAGCCTCATATTTTAACCCTGTTAACAAAAGATCATGAGATATGAAATGGAGAAACTTTATTTCCAGAGAAAAAACAGTGTGCAGATTATGAATATAGCTTTTGGGGAAATCCAAAGGTGCTCTCTCCTCAGGAGGGAGAAAATGATATTTATGTCTTGCAGAGTCATCTTTACATACATAGTTAGCAGGTTTGGGGGCCTTCTGTGAATGTTTATGAGGGAAGTCATGTGCGTGTGCAGCGGGTAAACATGTAACATAAGCCCCATGCTCATTTTAGATTTAATATTAAAATGAGGTGGAATTTGGCTCCTGACATCAAAAGGTAACAATAGGGCACAAAAGACACTTTGTGTGAAGTCTCTATAAACTGGCCAAAGCTGTTTTAGAGGATGTGGCTGCTTATTAGAAAGAGTGTTTTTGAAGCCTATTCTCTGTCCAACTGGAGCTGTAGGGGAACCACACAATAAGGGGTCAGTCGGATTGCACCAGGTAGCTTGTTGAAGGTCAGCTGAGAAATTTCAGGCTCTAGCTGTTTTGACATTATTTTCCAGAAACTGGTTTCTGCTTAATTACGGGAAAGAAAAGCCTCATGACAGTAGCATACATATAGTATAAGTGTGGGAATACATGGCTAACCCCACATTCTGCTATGGCCATTTGGTTCTGTTTGGTAGTTTTAGCACGTCTCTTTTTAGTCACAGGGGAGCCCACTTTGTCTGTCTGTTGGGGTATATTTTAACAACTCAGAGCTGCAGTCTTGTCATCATGAGAACAGGATGTCTATCAGGTAAACCCTGATGGCATAGTCCTTCTCTTCTGTTCATCTGGCTTGCTACATCTTTCCCAGAAGGTGACACCCATTGGGTTTTAACAGGTTGTTTGTTTATTATGCCTGGGGAAAAAAACATTGTTTTTAAATCTCAGACAGTAAATCACATTTCCACTCCAGTCTTCCTAATATATTTGAAGAAACTCCTTGGTGGACCAAACAGATTGATTTAATGTCAGATTTGCAGATAGAAAGTTCCATCAGCCAGCCATTAATGCTTCTGTGAGATGATGGCTCAGAAAAAGTTCAACATTGTCAGTCCCCACCATCCTGACTTTTGTTCAATGTGAATATTATTAATTGCTGAACAACTCATAGCAGATCATAAACCTCTTGATTGGGATGAGGCAGGGTCTAAGAAATCATCTCTTGAGGACTTTTGTTGATATTGTTCCTGTAAAACTAGTTGAACCATCTGTTGAGAGGTGGTAGCAAAGTTCAGTTGTTTTAGGGTCCTGGAGAGATCAGGCATCTTAAAAGAGGGATGGCTAAAATGAAAAAGAGGAATATTAATATAAAAAAGTTGTATCAAAAGTAAAGAGCTAGGGGTTGAATCCTGAAGGTCTGGTGGTTTCCATGAGGTCAGTGGGGGAAAATTTTTAGGTTATGCAGCACCACTCAAGGAGTTTCTTGAAGCTCTTGCACTGGGATTTCAGTGCTGTTGGGCACATTGTCCACAGTCTTTGCAATATCTCATATAAGGGCATACATAAACTAAGCATTTTGCTAGACTTTCTTAGTCCAGGCAATGACTTTTCTGGGGAGAATTCTGGCCCAAGGCATGTTCTACTGTGATGACAAGCCCTTGGAGGTTTATATCTAGTCATTGAGATTCTATTCACAAGGCTTTTTCAGATCTTGAGGAAGAGTCTATACAAGGAAATATAGAGTCCCTATAAGGGATCTGGGCAATCAGGCTTTAGTTCTCCATGACTCTTAAGTCAGATGGGAAGGGGAAAATTGGAAGTATTAGTTTGGAGGATTACAGCAGGTATTGAAGAAAATGGAGAGAAATGAAAATTTGTAAGTTTACAATTTGGGCAAGGTAACAGGATCTAGTCTGATTTACAGGTAGTTACCCAAACTGAGTTTTTGACAGGGAAGCAGAGAAAGTCAATTAAATCTCCACCAGACAAGAAAGAGTTGGCATGCTCATCAGTTACTTACAATCAACAAGAGATGAAAAATTGCTCAAAGACAAAGAATAGGGGAAAACTCTGATTACCCAAACGAGTGTGCTACAGACAATGCATTGTTTTCCAGTGAAACTCAAAATTTCTCTCTTTTGATTAAAGTTAATCTCAAAGAAAAATTATTCTTGATCAAAAATTAAAATAAGGCTGGTCTCATTACACTTGGCCTTATTTTTTACATAGTTGTAGTAAGGATGGTAATTTATCATATGGGTCTTCTTAAGGTTGCTTTGCTGGATGTTTTCATAAGGAATCTCACACTGGACTTTTTACAAACCTCTCGAGGCTGAGAGGACAAGTAAAAAATTTCCCACCACATTGCATCTGCAGTACCTGTAAATTTGGTTGAATTTTGCTCTTTTTAGTGTCCCCAAACTATCATACGTTTTCTGGACCTGCCAGGAAGATACTTTCCTTACTTATATTATAAGGCCAGAAAACCTGTAAGCCAGGTACCAGGCCAGTTTTCCCAAGAAATTGGCTCCATAAAGTCAACCTTAGTTCCTTAAAAGTCTCTGGTCATATCTGATTCAATGAACATCATTTTAAGATATATCATTCCAGGCAAGGGTTTAGTTGTATGTCCAGTGATTCCAACCATATCCTGGTAACAAAGAGGACAGATTCTTATTAACCCTATTCGAATAATTTTGTTGCCATGGAAGTACAAATATTTAATACGAGTTTCTAAATCCTAGAGGGAATTTGGAAGAGAGAATAAAAATCATTTATGAAAGTTTAATTTCAGTTTACAAAGCATGATCTATTAAATTGTTTTGAGTTCTAGATAGCTTACAAAATAAGAGAAATGGGTTCTTTATATATCCAAAATATAGAACATTAAAACATTAGCAATATTCTAAACAAAACCCACAATCATCCTTTGTCAGTTTGTTCAGTCTTATGTAATTAATTTTTGTTCTTCTTGATCTTGCTTTAGCAGGCTCATGAAACCGGCTGATTATTGATTAGAGTTCTCAAAGTCCTTACTCATTATACTGGTATGGTCTAAAAGTTATTTTAAGGGTGCCCTCAGAAGCCCGTACACAAAAGTACCTGTCATAGTCCTTTTTAATGGGGTTTTGAGAAAATCTTCTTTGTTAAAAATGAGGTACTTTAGCCTTAACTGATTGCAAAATCAGATTAAAACATAAAAACTATCT